GAGGAAAATAGAAGAAACTTCAAAATAAAATCAAAATTAAAAATTTGAAAATTTAATCTGAAAAGAAAAGGTATTAAAATTATGGTTGCTTGATTTTGTTGCAGTTCTTTTACTAATTCTTTACTTTTTGAGTTCTGAAAAGATAACTTTAAATAATCAACGGTATAGAAAACTTAATTGAATAGCATTCCAATGGAAAGAGCCAAGAGGACATAAAACAGTTTAAAGATTATCAAAATATAGGTAGGAAAACCACACTTAGTTCATATTTCATTGTTACAAGTTTTAATAATCATTTTTGTTAGTTTCATTATATAATCATATCCTGTATCATTTGATTTCAATTTAAGAAAACCAACTACTACTATAAAATATTCCAAAATCAATAAATATATAATAAAAAACCAAAGACTACCAATATAAGAAAAATAACACATATAGAAAAAATATATTTTTTTATGGTTACCACATATAGAAAATATATAAATGCAAGTAAAGATATAACATATAATGGTATAATCATATACTGCATTTTGGGCAAACTTTTGGCCAGTAAACATCCTTGCTGGTTTTCAAAAACTCTGAATAGAAGTTTTCAGTTAGATTTCCAAAAATCCAAGAAAAACTAATTTTCCAGTCAGTTTAATCTTTTGAAATAGAAAGTAGAAGAAATGAAACCGTTTGAAAATATATATATATATATATATATATATTTAAAAGGAAGTAGAAAAACTCAAGAAACCAAAGTGATACCAAATAGATCTCAAGTTTCACATGAGAGTAGAAAAATGTACCTGTCATGAAGTTAAGGTAGAATTGACAAGGAAAACATTGCAATCTCCACTAATCTGAGAACTAGAACCTTATTATTGTAGCAATGTAACGTGTATTCAATCCCAAGATCACCAACAAGGAAATGAATCCTTCAACTGAGACTAACAAAGTTTTTAATCAACATTGTAGATACTAGTAGATTATTCTAAAGAGGATCCCTTTAGTGGTTATATCATCTCTCAAACTTAGATTGATCTTATTCTTCTTTTATTTTTCATAAGTGATTGTTAAATCTTATTTAAGCCATCACATTAATAACCATGCATGCCAATATTTGATTATCAACGTGCCAAGTGTGTGTTCATGAAGTAATGAGTTGTAAATCAAGAACAAAATAAATTCCAATCTACCAGTCAGAATTTTAAAACTATAATGAGAGAATACATAAAAAAGAAAAGGAGATGTTATGTACTCACATTTTGGACCAAAAGTCCCATTGGGCTCTTTTCTTTTTGGCAAGTGATTGTTAAATCTTACTTAAGCTATGTGGGGAATCAATAAACATGCATGTCAAGACTTGAATATCTCTGTCATGAGGTTGTTCGTGAAGTGATGAGTTATTGTAAATTAAAGACAACAAATTCCAATCACAACTCAGAGTTATACATATAGAATATAGAGAAAAGAGGAGATGTTAAATATTAACAACTTGGGTTCCATTTGGCTTCATTTATTCTTCTTTCCATAAAAGAAGTGATTGGCGAATCACACAAATCAAAGAAACAAAATCAAAATCTCGGTAATAACATAACATATTGACTCATCGAAGATTCTATGAAGAAATTGTTAAATAGGTCTAGCCATGTAGGGCTTGATTCTTGGCCCCAAAACAGAATAGGAAAGGCCAACCAAAACAAAAGCAATCTAATATGCTGAATTCTACAGGACAGATTCAAAAGCAAAATATCAGTTAAATATAGAAACAAAAAATAGTGAGAATACAAAAGTTGCAATGTGCATAAAAAATATTAAAAATTGAAGAAACATAAAGCAGGATCACCACTACCTTTGCCCCAAAAGCCAAGACAATGGATTCATAATCTGGTAATTCATAGACACAGTTGTCAGGGCAGCACTAAAGAAAAATAAATTACCATCCAAACATGATAGTGGCATCTGTACTGTGTCTGAACTAAAGGGACACAAAAGCAATTTAAGTAAACACCAAGAAGAAGCACTTTAACACAAGTCCCCTAGACTAAGAATCATATCTTCTAGCAACTAGCAAGTGGCACATTCAGCACAAGAGTTAAAAGCTGGCCTCTATTTTACCTGAAAATGCTAACAGCTTTTTGACCCAAGATTGTTTTATTGCAAAAGTTGCAAAAAATCAGCGGAACCCTTAACAAAGGGTCTGAATTTTGAAAGAAACATCTAGAAATTATCCTTTTTTAGAACTGGGAATTCCATAAATTTATAACAACTTAGCATAAGCACTGGCTCTAAGTATATATCAAACAATCAGATTATATAACATAAAAATGCAGCCAATCAAAATTCTTGAAATTAGGAGATTGAAATCAATTTCTGTTTTACTACTAAGTCATTAAATCTAAAAGAAAAAAAAGATCGTATAATTTGGTCCATAATGTTTCATAAATTTGCGAGAAGTACTGAAAACTAAAACCTAATCTTTGCCCTAACACTCGTAATTGAAATCAAAGGGGAAAACGAAAAAGATCTGACTTTTTGGAAAGTATGAAATTCGTAAGAGACAATCAAAGTTTTAATCGAAAATTTCCTTAAAGAAAGAGAAAGAAAATTCGAAAACCAATCACCATGTATTTCTTTTCTTGAAATAATAATTAAGAAACCTACCACGACTGAATGCGGCAAAGAGATCGACGGTGGAGGCTTGGAACGGAGGACGTGCGGGAAAGGAGGCTGCTTTCATTGTCGCCCGTCGGAGGTTGCAGAGAAGATGAATTTTCCACCGTTGGGTTGGGTTGGGCTTGGCTTCTGATCGACAAAACTAAAGTTAGGGCTTTTTTTGGGGAGGGAAAAAAAATAGAGTTTTAAGTTTTGAGGAAAACAAAATTTAAATGGGCTTCTGAGCAGTTGGGTGTGGATACTCAACTTTAGCCCAGGCCTAGTATCGAGCTGGCCTTGTAGATTCTCCAACAATTTTTATTCATTTTTTATAGGCAAAAAATTTAGTTATTTAAAAAAAAAAAAAAAAAGAAAACTGAAACAGAGCATAAAAATGCAAGCACTTTATGATTGATTACATAAAAATAATCCATTCGTAATTAAATAATTTAGTTCCATCTTTTACAATCAGAAAGATAAAAAACTCCTAGGATTTTTTTTTTTTTAATATGAGAATAAAACTCCAATTGCTCCTAGATTCAATCCTAAATACATAGGGAGACCAATAACCTGTTGGTCCGAGTGGAAGGAGTTCGGTTCTCCTTAAGCAAGATCTCGAGTTCGAGTCTTGTGAATGGAAAAAACAGGTGTTGGGAGAGCTTCCCCCCATATGGGGTCTGACCCGGCTCGATTTCGGATTAGTCAGGACCCAATGTGGTTTCTGAATACCGGAAGGTTAATACCAAAAAAAAAAAAAAAAAAACCATAGGGAGAGAAGAAAAAGAACTAAATATTCTACACTTGAAGTAGACCATCCGAAGAATATCATCTTATATGGTGGTGATGCCATATTATAAGTTAATTTTTAATATTATATTAAATCAATTTTTTTGATTCAGTTAAAAATAAGTCATTTATATAAAAATAAAAAAAATTATAAGGAATTATGTTTTTCATTGTTCTTTTCAAAGAATAATTTTCTTTCTTACCTCCATTTGGTGACGAAAACATCCAACATATTTGGAAATAATTCATTGCATTATAAAATTACATATTAAATCAACATATACATTGTATGTAGCCCTTAGAAAAAGAAAAGAAAAGAAAAATGCTCTCTTAACTAACATCTATTATTCCCCTCCCAACTCCTAAAAATTGTGATTCCAAACACGTTTTAGAAGAAATCGAATTTCTCCCCAACCCATATTTCATTATAACCATAGGGTAGGGTGACGATTTATATATGCAAGAAAGATGCAAAGTAAATTAAAGCACAGCATAAACTCGAAAAATATCCCATATATCCTCCTATGGCTAATGTTTAATGTTGTACACAGATGAGAGAATCACATATGTAACAATGTTTAGAACTTTAATTAAAGTATATGCCCTTAATTGAATCCTTTGTCTTTACGGAATGCACCGGCTCTACAAATTTCAATCCACTTTAAAGGAGGCAAAAGATGGGATTTTTGCACTAGCTAACTTTGGAATTTGGATGTACTCCTTTTAATGTTTGAATTCGCCATTAAAATAAAAGGATGTAATTATTTTTAGGGTGCAATGTAATCTGGAATCGCATGCTTTTGAAAAGCTGATGTATTTTCAGAGTATATAACATTATTTGGAGACTAGCTAGTTTGTATTTTAAGAGAAGCATCTTATTCCAAAATCATGCAAATTAGTAATTATCTTCTAAACTACATACAAAAGATGAAATTGCATGGATCCCTTCTTAAGAATGGATTAGTTTGAGTCCCCTGTTCAAATATTAATTCATTAGTCTTTCTCAAAAAATGAATATTTGGAAGATGATGCTATTTGCCTTTAGAGGTGGATGGTCAGAGAGTCTCAAGTGCTCAGCTCCACTAATTAAGGTCTTGACATTAACGTTTTCAAGGAAGACAAAAATGGGAGATTGAAAATGACTATTAGATGTGTGTGTTGTCATAGTAAGATGGGGTGAACGGAGGAGGTTGACTCATTTTATGCTTGAATTGAGACCATACATCCTTTAAAGAACTTGTTTTAAAAGATTGAAATAGAAACTTACTTTTTAAATTGAAATAAAGTTTTAATATGAAAAAAGTTATAATTTTGCAGATTAAATAAATATAAAACATTAAGATATTGTCCCTATTTGATTGACTACCCTAGCTATACTACTAAAATATCCCTACCCTATCCCATTAAAAAGGATAAGTAATATTATCTGAATATTACCGAATGAAATAAATGAATAAATAGAATAGATCCTCTTGATCGAAGCATATATGATTAACATGATGATAGGTAATATATTTGTGGGGTCAATGCAACATAGAAAATATGTAAGATGATAATTTAATTAATGTAAAGAGGAAAAGTAAGGATGCAGGGGGAGGTGGGTTGGGAAATTGGCAGGGAGCACCTAGATATGCCATCCGAATCGGACCATCATTTTCATGCCCTGTAATTGGCTCAGTTGACCTCAAGCCTTGGATTTCCTGCCCACTTTTTCTTTCCCCTTTAAGCTAACGTTTTTCTAACGTGGACATACATGTTTTTACATTTTTCTTCTTAAATTTAACCCTAGAAAATGACTATGAAACATGCATGAATTTATATTTTAAGAAAAGGTTTCCAAAAGAGATATTAATCCTTTGAACCTATCTTCTCTTTTACTTTCCATCCACTTAATAGCATGCTCAACCACAACCATCCAATTTCTAATTATTAATTACTTTAATTTACTTGTTGATTGTCACATTGCCTAAATTGGAAAGATTTTGAGAAAAAGTATCAATGTTCAAAACTTCAAATTGTTTCTCCCTTATTGATCAGGTTAGGAAATCTCATTTATGGCCATATTAATGTTTTTAGGTTCCTTCATAGCATTTTGGCATGGGCCATCTTCATGGACTTCACAAGTACAATGTTGCATATAAAACACTAACTATCATATTAACAGCATCTAACTGAAACAAGTTTCTTGATCTGATGATTGATGTGTTGCAGTTTAAATTGTAAGATACATAATTGTCTCAAGCATTATTTTTTTTGCAAGCCAAAAATTATGAATTTTCTTTTAATAATAATAATAATAATAATAAACCTCCCATAAGAAGAGAGAGAAGAAATGGAGAAGTCTATCTTTTCTTTGAATCAGCCACCTCAAGCGCGCTGTCAATTTTCCACAACCCTTATGTTGATTTTCCAACCCATACCCATGAAGAAAGTAAAAGGATTGGAGGCAACAAGACAGGGGATAAAAGAGAGGGGACAGGGAAAAGACTCAAAAAAATTTTTCCCTTTTTTTTTTCGGTAGTTTTATATATAGTTATATTGCCAAGTTGTAGTGGGGATGAAGAAATGGGAACCAGAGATGGAATTGTCAGCTTCCCTCTCACCAAGAACCAATATTTCTTCTTCTACGACAAATATTGGGTGCTTTATTTACTCAATAATTAAAAGCCCCCTTTAAGAGGCAAAGGCATTTCTCCTTGCATCTCCATAAGTGCAACTTAATAAGAATTATATGCCTTATCCCCTTTAATAGTCCCACTAATACCAAAACCGCGTACATAAAAGTCAGTTGGCATTTGTTCTTTCAGAGTTGTTTCATGGCTCCCATAAACATTAATATGCGTTTTGATCACTTTTTGCAATCATTAATCTTAAAATGGAATGCCAAGACGCATGAAAAAGGTGTTTTCAGACAAGGATTTTGGTGATGAATGCTAAACCAGTTTTATCTTATACTGGTAGATGCATGTAAGGGCAAAGGGCCAAGGGGGTAGTACATAAGAAAATGTTCACCTTTATTAATAAAAGAGGTGTAGTGGAATTCAAGCTGGTCTAATTGGAACTCTCCTATGTGTGTGCTTGTACATGAATTAGCCAGTAGTGTAATGGACATACCTTTAATGTTGAAAACACAAAAGAATAACTTATGACTTGAAGGGGCGAATAATGCTTTTAATTCAGGTTATGTCCCATTTCCATCAACTTTAAAATTCCCCTATATCTGAAAAAATCTCTCATGAGAACATGTTGGAGTAGTGATCAGATCCGGCCGAGTTTTGGTTATTTTTTCCGGCGAATCTGGCCATTATCTCTTTCAAGTGGGGGAAGGATAGGATGACACAAAGGCGATAGTATAAAGTGATATTTGCTTAATTCGATGCTCCCGCCCGGCATCATGATATTCCTTCCCTCCCCCATATTTAATGTCATTAGGTGGTTCCATTGATCACTCACAAGGCTACTCACATTGTCAGCAACCACCAATCTCTTCCCTCTTAGAAGGCTTTGGACAAGAGAGAAGGAAGATGGTGAAGTTTTCCAAGCAGTTTGAGGGGCAGCTTGTTCCTGAATGGAAAGATGCCTTTGTCGATTATTGGCAACTGAAGAAGGACCTCAAGAAATTTCATCCCCTTAACGAGACACCAACACCTCCCAAAAAACAACATACTTCTTTAGTTAATACCATCTCATCTTTACCAGAGAAGCTCTCTTCTTTTTGCCACAAAAATACAGACCACGGAGCAATTCATGTACTCACTCCTCCTAAATACCCTATTACCGTTTGTGCGTGCATTTTTCTATAATGCTAATCTCTTTGGCATGTATGATTATGCACAGGTTCATAGGACGCTTGCATCTTCAGCTAGCAAAAACGATGTGTATGAGACAGAATTGCTGGAGCAATTCGCAGATACTGATGCTGCCAAAGAATTCTTTCAACGTCTGGACATGCAGCTGAACAAAGTGAACCAGTTTTACAAAACAAAGGAGAAAGAGTTTTTAGATAGAAGGGAGTCCTTGAAGAAACAGATGGAGATCCTCATTGAGCTCAGAACTGCCCTCATGCAAAAGAGTAGCAAAGAAGTTTCTGCTCAGGACTTCAACGAGGATGCTTCCATTTCTTGCACAATTTCATGTGGTAAATGATCATTTTTCTGTCTCAAGTCATAACAAAACTCAAAATTTCAAAGCTTGACATGTTATGCCAAACTCTAAGGATGTTTTAACTTTTAACATGATTAGTTTCATGAAAATTATCTTAGGGGATCTGTATTTGTAGGCATAACTAGTATTTTATCAGTTGTACTTTATAATGTTGAATCATACCATCGACATGTCTTTGTTTTCATTGTATACAGAGGACTCTGTTAAAGACAGAACAGAACAAGACCAACTGCAAGACAACAGCAACACAGATAAGCTGCCATTTTCAGACTCTCCAAGGTCAGATGAGATGGGGAAATCAATGAGATTGAAAAAGGAGGATAGTAAATTAAAGTCGCTATCAAGTCATGTTTTCAATATCCAGGGGAAGAACTTGAGGATAAATATTCCTTTAACAACACCATCCCGTACCTTCTCGGCTATCAGTTACTTGATTTGGGAAGATTTAGTAAATCAGTCCTCGAAGAAATGTGAACCTGAAGGAAGAAATCTGAATTTCAACAAAACAAAGGTGCATCATGCAGAGAAGATTATAAGAGGAGCTTTTGTTGAGTTGTATAAAGGATTGAGCTATCTCAAAACTTACAGGTATAAAATTCTCAGAACTTTGAAAGATTAATAATTACAGATTCCAATTTAGCGCTGAAAGCTTTACTTGATTATTGTAAATTTGATTTTTCAGGCACTTAAACATGCTTGCTTTCATGAAAATTCTGAAGAAGTTTGACAAAGTAAGTAAAATTTCAACTTTTGAAGCCTTGCATTATGGTTTTTATGTAACTCACAGATAACTAAGGAAGGTCTTTAAATTTCTTTGCAATTTCAGGTTACTGGGAAACAAGTTCTTCCCATTTACCTTAAAGTAGTGGAGAGTTCATATTTCAACAGCTCAGATAAGGTAAAAGACTGAAAAAACAACCTAGTAAAAACATCTAGTTCTGTCATTGATAGGTTAATGATAGGTATGTTACAGAAAACAGTTGCATGGATGTTAGATGTTTTCCACTAGCTATCCTTTCATCTGAAATACTCGCCGACAATGTCAAGTGGCCATTGATAACCTGTAATTTATGTCTGTGGTGTCTTAGTTATTACATTAAAAAAATTAAAATAAAACTAGCATATGCTTGTCTGACACTTGAATTGCAGTACAGCTTTGAAACACCAGTAAAGTTTTGCTAATTAGTCTTGGAAATGACAGGTAATGAATTTAGCAGATGAAGTTGAGGAGCTTTTTATCAAGCATTTTGCTGAGGATGATCGAAGAAAGGCCATGAAGTATCTCAAACCTCAGCAGCGCAAAGATTCACATGCTGCAACCTTCTTCATAGGTAAGTTCCCTGCAAAAATCAGGATCCAACAGCACTAAAATTCCAGCGCTGTATTTTTAAGTGATGTTTTCTTTGATCAAACCTTTTAGTGGAAACCCCTGAGGCAGTTCACTTTTCAAAAACATAGATTTTAAAGAAGAAAAGCCATGGACCCATTGGGGCACTAGACTTTTAAAATGAAGGGCAGTTGCAAGGTCACTTTTTTCAGGTGGAAAATAAAGCATAGGTCCCATACTAGACCATAATCGTGCTCCACACAAAACTTGACCGTACCCACATGAACCTTTAAGCAGCATATAAAATACCCGAAAACAACAGCACTAATTAATTTCCTTTGATTCATACCAAGCTACGTTGCACCTCCCATGGACATCTCTAAATCTGAGGCAGATAAGTATATTTTACACTAAAACTAGCCCCCAAAAAGATTTCCAACTACCGTTTTCTTTTCACATTTTTAAATCAAACATCCCTAATGAAGCAGATGTTGATAAGCACCTTTCTTTGTCAGTAATGTCTCACAGTTTATTTTATATGTAGTTTGTCACGTGAAAGAAAACCTAATACCAGACTACCTTAGGTTAAAGCCCAGAGGCTGATATTAATAACAGTTGAATAAGACCTAACTCATGTTTTCAAAAATTTAACCAGGGCTCTTCACTGGATGCTTCATTGCCCTTCTTGCTGGATACATTACTATGGCTCATATATCCGGGATGTATAAAAGACAACCAGATACACTCTATATGGAAACTGCATATCCTGTCTTTAGGCAAGTATCCGCAAATTTCATGATTGGACCATATTTCAACATGTTTCTTAAAATTCCCATAATTTTTCCAAAAAAAAAAAAAAAACCATTAATTTAATTGCAAGAATCAACTTCGTGTCACAGACCTTGAATAAAACCTGGCATTAGTAGGAATGCATAACAACCAAGAGCAAGAAATCTCATGATCCATCTGTAG